CCTGAAGTTCTTTCCCTTTATGTCAGCCTGAAATATATTAGCCCCAATCAGCCATGAAGAGAGAGTTGTTGCATATAGCCCTCAGTTATGATTTGGTATAACTGTATTTGAGAGAAACTGAGTCTCCCCAAATCCCCATTGATTCAGTCCCCCTTACTCCAGTGTGATTTAGGCAAATTTCAGGATTTGGGCAAACTTTACATATTCTTTAAATGTGCTTGTGTGGGAGTCATGCCTTCCAAGAGGCAGTTTGCTATTTTAGGCCCTTCTCTCACACAGAGATTAAGGCCTGTGGGGTTTCTTTTTCGAAACAGAATGTGATCAGCCACTAAGATAAAGTGCCCACTCCTAAATTTCTTCATCAGAGTCTGTGCATTGACCAAGTGATTACTTGTGTGCTAGCCTTAAGATACAACATACAGTGGGGTCTCTACTTAAGAATGTAATCCGTATTGGAAGGTGGTTCTCAAGTTGAAAAGTTCTTATGTTGAATCTGCATTTCCCATAGGAATGCATTGAAAAACATTTAATCCGTATCTGCTCTTTTCCGTCCACAGAAACTACTGTAGCAGTATACTTTGATTTGAATGCCTATACGGAGCAGGGGGTTGGACTCTATGGTCTTATAAGCCCTTTCCATCTCCATTATTCTGTGATTCTATTATTCTGTGAAAGGACTTCCAGCAGCCATAATTTTAATTAAAGATGGGCACAGTCTTCTCTTCTGACCCTGCAGCACAGGCTTCTGCGGTTTAGCCCGCAGTGCCACCACGTCCCTTCCAGCAGCCGTAGTTTTAATTAAAGATGGGCACGAACCTCCGTTTGGAGTTTCATGCCAGTTCATATGCATGGCATCACATCTGCTGCACATTTCCTTCCCTCTCCTCCCCGACGGATGCTCCACTCACTAGTCAGAGAGTGCTTCTCTCTTTCTCCTCTTTGACTGTTCAGCCAATCCCCAGAAGGAGTAAGAGCTTGCCTATCCTGCCTCTTTGTCTGAATGAGTGACCAGCCAAGGACGTGGGGCAGAGAAATCCATGTTCCTGCTGGGGAGGTGGAACAATCAAAGAGGAGAAGGAGGAGAGGGGTGTGTGCCAGCTGCTGAGTGGGGGATCCAGCCAGAGGTGGGGAAAGCGAACGTGTGGCAAGTATGGTGCCATAGTTCCAAACCAGCACGAACTTCCGAACTGAGGTTCATGCCTATCCCTAGTTTTAATTAATGCACTGCTTTGTCTCCAGAATCTCATCATTTTGCCTCTAAACATCATGAAAGAAGAGTTAATACACAACAGCTTAAGATGCCCAAGCAAATTAAATGTAAAAACTTTTTTTAAAGCAACAAAACCCATCATTCTTCCACAGTTTGAGACAGGTTATTTTAAAAATGCATTTGCTTCCAGATGTCTTACTTGGGCATCATGTCCCAAATATACCATGATGGCTGGCTGGGGATGGGAAGGAATATTAACTCATTGATCTTTCCAGTCTGGAACTATAATAACACTAACAGTGCCATTTAGGTTTGATTACTTAGAGTTTATTTGAAAATCCTTCTGGATCTCAAGTCTTGTCTCTAGTCTGTTCTTTTCTCCTTCCTTTGTTAAAGTAAAGAGCTTTGTAATCACTGTTGCTTTGTAAAATAATAATTATATTAATAATAGTCAAGTTTCCTGCAAATGCAGTTCTGTGGAGAAATGTCACTGGTTTAGACTTAACTTTGAACAAATTACATGTTGTCACTTTTCTAGTAAATTATTGTTATAAATGTGCTCTTATAACCTTTCCTTTCTGTAGCTTGGTGATTATCTTAATCTTCCATACATTTTCTTTCTCTCTTTCCTCATTTCACATCTTCATGGCTTGTGATAAGGACATTGTTACTGCTTTGTTGTATACTGTTGTTGCATTGCATGCATATTTTAAAAACCCTTTTTGTCTAGGGCTGTGCCCAGATGGCTACTTCCTGGTTTGGGGGCAGAATGTTATCACACACAATGAAGGTCATGGGATGTGTTTCAGCCTAGCAAGCTGTCTTATACTGAGTCATTGTTCCTTCTAGCTCAGTATTACCTACACTGGCTGGAAGCAACTCTTCGTGATTTCAAAAAAGGGTCTTTTCAATCCATAACAGAATTTGTCACTAGAGATGGGCACAAACTGGGAAAATGGTGGTTTATGATGGTTTCTGGTTCATCACTATTAATGAACCACAACCCACAAATTTTCTGATGAAATTGAACTGTTTTGTGGTTCATGCAATTTGGGATTTCCTGGACCAGGGAGCAAGTTAGAGACACCAAACTCAAGCTGAGTCCTCAGCTCACTCTCCTCCCCACACTCTCCAAATTTGGCAAATATTGTATTTGGGATGTCCAAGTTATAGCCGCCCCCCCCAAAAAAACAGGTCCCCCCAGGAAAGTGCTCTTTAGCAGTTCCGGGAAGTCCCAAAGTGCACAAATCACCAATGCCAATAATAGTTCAGCATTTCATTTCATTCTGGGCAGGCATGTTTCTCTGAAGCACCCCAAAATGAACTACGCAATGGCCCAATTCATGGATTTTATTTGCTTTGTGGTTCACTTTGTGCCTATCTCTGTTTGTCAATAAAGTTGTCAATGCCATCCTTATTGATGCCAAAGTTTAGTTCCTTCTCATTTCTGGAGAGCAGACGGACATCGGGGCAGATTTAATACCGTTATCACCTGCATGCAATCATCCTGATCAAGACTGGGGCGGTGCATCCATATTTTAAATAAATCAAGCAGACAGGCAGGAAGAAAGAAAAGAAAAGAGAAAGAAAAAAGTGATGCTGGCCTACACAGTAAATATTTTTCTTAGCAGCTTAGGTCAGACGGCTTATGTGTTCATGGGCTCTGCAACTAGTACGGATGTTTTTGGAAGCTCTGCTTTTAACATTGCAAGTCAGCAGACTAGATGTCACATCCTGTGCCTACCTCCAGTGGGTCCTGTTAGCTGGATAGTAATCAGCTTAAGCACCACGGAGGTTGAAATTTTGAATTGAAATTTTGCCCCAGACATCACTTCTCAAAATAATCAGCTTGGACGAAAGCTTGTTTTTTTTATAACTCAATGGCTGAAACGTAATAGTAAGTTGCAACTAGAGTAGGCCCACTGAATCAGTGAGCTAATGTAGATGTTGACTAACCAGATTCCTACAGATTTAATGAGCCTACTCTACAGCCCACAGAGCCACCACGTCCAAGTTATACCCCCCAAAAAACAAGTCCCCCCAGGAAAGTGCTCTTTAGCAGTTCCGGGAAGTCCCAAAGTGCACAAATCACCAATGCCAATAATAGTTCAGCATTTCATTTCATTCTGGGCAGGCATGTTTCTCTGAAGCACCCCAAAATGAACTACGCAATCGCCCAATTCATGGATTTTATTTGCTTTGTGGTTCACTTTGTGCCTATCTCTGTTTGTCAATAAAGTTGTCAATGCCATCCTTATTGATGCCAAAGTTTAGTTCCTTCTCATTTCTGGAGAGCAGACGGACATCGGGGCAGATTTAATACCGTTATCACCTGCATGCAATCATCCTGATCAAGACTGGGGCGGTGCATCCATATTTTAAATAAATCAAGCAGACAGGCAGAAAGAAAGAAAAGAAAAGAGAAAGAAAAAAGTGATGCTGGCCTACACAGTAAATATTTTTCTTAGCAGCTTAGATCAGACGGCTTATGTGTTCATGGGCTCTGCAACTAGTACGGATGTTTTTGGAAGCTCTGCTTTTAACATTGCAAATCAGCAGACTAGATGCCACATCCTGTGCCTACCTCCATTAGGTCCTGTTAGCTGGATAGTAATCAGCTTAAGCACCACGGAGGTTGAAATTTTGAATTGAAATTTTGCCCCAGACATCACTTCTCAAAATAATCAGCTTGGACGAAAGCTTGTTTTTTTTATAACTCAATGGCTGAAACCTAATAGTAAGTTGCAACTAGAGTAGGCCCACTGAATTAGTGAGCTTACGTAGATATTGACTAACAAGATTCCTACAGATTTAATGGGCCTACTCTAGTTGTGGCTTACAGCTCAGTTTCAGCCAGAGTATAATATTGTGTTCATAATAATACTACTGGGCTCCTTTGCCGATGGGATTCCCAGTGTGGTGTAGTGACTGAGAGATGGACTAGAACTCTGGAGAATAGGGTTCGGATCCCCACTTGGCCATGGAAGCTCACTCCAGGAGTGGAACTGGGAAACCGACTCCTTAAATATCTCACTTAACTTGAAAGCCCTCATGTAATCCTGTAACTGTCAAAAGGACTATACAGTGGTGCCTCGCTTGACGATGTTAATTCGTTCCAGCGAAATCACTGTAGAGTGAAAACGTCGTCAAACGAAATTAAAAAACCCATTGAAACACATTGAAAACCGTTCAATGCGTTCCAATGGGCTGAATACCTGCTCGTCCAGCGAAGATCCTCCATAAGGCGGCCATTTTCTGCTCCCTGTATAGCGAAAAATCCATCCTAAAAACAGCGGGGAGCCATTTTCTTCAGCCGGTGGCCATTTTGAACCCCAACAATCGGCTGTTTGCTGATCATCGTAAAGTGAAAATCGGTTCCCGAAGCATGGAACCGATCATCGCAAAGCGGAAAAACCCCATTTAAACCGTTTTGTGATTGCAAAAGTGATTGCAAAAACCTAATCGTACAGCGATTTCCTCATTAAGCAAGGCAGTCGTTAAACGAGGCATCACTGTACATAGGTGTGAGGAAGGCAGATGAAACGACATCTTCCTATGCTACACAGGCCAATCTTTTGCATGCTTACTGAGAAATGAACTTGACAATGACTTTATTACCCAGTGGGTTTGCATAGGACTGGACTGCGTTCAGCCTACCAGGTGGCTAATTTTTCCCCACCACCACTTGGTGTGGAGAAGGGGGCACAATGGGGGAGACGCCTGCCAGTTCAAATGCATGTCATATTTTAAGCCACAACAGCAAAATAACCACTGTTTGAAACTGCTTTAGACACTGGACTTCACAGACAGGTCCTTGACCGAGAACAGAAACGCTGCAGGCGACAGCAGTCAAAGGAGCTCGACGGAGACGCTGGACAAGCAGGAAGAAAACCCACAGGAGGCCAAAGAAGAGCAACAGGATCCCGGGGAGCAAGAAACAGCCACAACTGCCTCCCTTCAGAATGGGGGGGATGCTGCCAAGGAGAACACACCCAAGAGGCTAGAGAAGCGACAGTCATTCGGAGGGTTTTTTAAGGGCCTTGTACGTTACCGTTCCTCTTTCTTTAGTCATTCTCAGAGCTTGGGAACTAGAATGGCTCTATCCCTTAGAATCCCGTGGGTTCGGTTGAGGTGCTTAGTATTTTCAGGTAGGGTTTAGTGCCGCCACTGGAACTACATCAGAGAATGCAGAGTCCCTCCTCAAACTGCACATACCAAGATACTGTGGGATGGTGCAATGGCAGTTAAAATGAAACCAAATTGCTGTCATGAAGATGCACTGATATGGTTAAGGACCATCATCCATTCTAATCAATATGTTGCTAGAAACGGTGCATCAGTAGTACATACATGAACCTGGCCCCATTCAAATCAAGTACAAAGGTCTGGGACCAAACAGGGGCACTATCTATACAGTTTATAGTCAAGAGGTACTGATAAATCTATTGAGTGTGGTTGTTTTTTCCCTATGTGTTAAAGCCAAAATATTAACATTCACTAAAAAAAAATCAGCTGACATATCTTCCAATAACTGAAATAGCTATTGGTATAAAATTGCATGAATCTATCTATCTATCTATCTATCTATCTATCTATCTATCTATCTATCTATCTATCTATCTATCTATCTATCTATCTGATTTTTATACCACCCGTCTAGTGTATCAGTGCTCTGGTTAATGTACAACAGAGGTAGGGGGTTAATGTCAATTATAGAAAATCAAATGACTATAAAGTGGAAAACAACAACAACCATAAACTGGTGAAACCACAAAATTGAAAATGTTGTTGAAAATTTAAAAAGTCAAAATACTATGGGACTTCCGGATTCAAACTGATAAACATCTGACTCATAACACACCTGATTATATAATGGTTGAAAGGAAGCAGAACAGGATAGTAGATGTGGCTATACATGGGAATGTTAGATTTGAATAGAAGGAATTTGAAAACAAAAATCAAATACAGTATAAAAGCGTACAGATTGAGATTGAGCTATAAACAAAAAACAAACAAACGAAAAACTCTAAAATTGATCAGGTTATAATTGGTGCTTTAGGTGCAATACCAAAAGATCTACAAAATCATCTTTGTACTCTAGGTGTAAATTAGATGTATTTACACCTAGAGTATGATGCAGCAATTACTCATGGAACAGCACATATTTTTTAAAAATACCGATGAATGATCCAAT